CTCTACTTGCTAGGGACCCCTGCCTTCCTGCAGTGGGGTCAGGCCGGAGGGAGAAGTGCCCTCCTGTACAAGACCCAGTGCTGCAAGAACCGCAGGCATGAAACATCAGTGCTTGCCCTTTACAGCATGAGGCTTATTTTTAAGGCAGAACAGAGGCTTTTTTTTTTTTTTTTTTTTTTTTAGGTAAAATTTAAATCTGAAGCAATCCGAGGGGTCTTTAACAATCTGAGGAGTCTTTGAAGTGTGCAAGAAAATCCAGCCTCACCCACATCCAGGCTTTGGCAGAAGTATTACAGGTTTGGAAGTGTCCCTTATTTTGTTTCTGCCACCCTGTGCTTTACAGAGGAGCGATTAAGTTTCAAACACCATAAAACACTGACGAAATCTGCCTCCGCTGCCAGTTTGAATGAAGCCCCCGAACACAGGCACACTCGGAGCACACACTATAAACTGTGTTTGGAAAGAGTCAGTGGAGGAACAGCAGCATTTACCTGGTCCAGGATGTGAGAGTTTGGGATTTCACTTTTCAGCTTCCAGGCAACACGAATGTTAGACTCTGGAGCATCGAAGCGGGTGCACGGGGTCCTCACAATTTCAGCACCCAGTGCTTTCAGAATATCGACCTTTGGGGGGGAAGAGAGTGGATGTAACGCAACTGATCCCATGTAGTGATGGTAATCTGAACCTGCGGGCTCATGGCAGCATCAGATGCCAGAGGAGCTTTGCATGCAGGAGACATTTGGCATTTGGAGATACAATGTCCGATTCTCAGTTATACTATCTCTGACATCCTTCTGGCACCCAGGGCCTCCTGCCTGAAGCTGGCACACGGATTCAAGCCTGGCCTTCAGCCCTGTCCTACTCAGAGGGCAAGCTGAGGACATGGCAGAGGTAGGGAACACTGTGCTGCTCTTTGGTGCCTGGGGAAAGGGGCAAAGGGAACTGGGGTAGGGAGCAGCGTCTCCCGTGTACTGTGGTCTGAGCCCCCACATGCAAGGAAGAGGTCTTAAAGCTGTCTTTAAGTCCCTTCTCTCTCTCCTCACCAAGCATGGGGAAGGAGCAACTATAAATCAGCCTGAGGACATTAATCCACCGGGAGATGTGGCTGTCGGGAGAAAAGGGAGTCAAAAGAGAAGGGTGAGTAAGTGTCAGGGTGCCTGGAGATGAAACCCACGGCAGCTGGAGGTGGCACCTGATTCAGACTGAGCTCAAGTGATATTTAGGTTGAAATGAGGATAGCACTTTGGAGAAGGGTTCAGTTTTGAGCCAAGTCAAGGTCCAGGTCTGGGTTTACTGGTATGAGTTCAGCTGAGCAGTTTGTGACTTTTGGCTCCCCAAGGTGGCGATTTCTGCCATCTCCAGGACAGCAGTTTCACCTGACCATCAGCTCTCATGCAAGCGACTTGACTTCCACCATCTCAAGAAAGTAGCTCAGACAACCATAAGTGTCTCCATAAAGACACGGAGAGACCAAGTGACATGTTAAATATCAGGGGGAAAGTTAGCAGCATCGACAGCCGAGCCCTGGCTCCTGCCTGCCCTCTCCTCCACTCCATCCAGCCCTTGCCCTGGCAGACAGCAGGTATCGCTCCATTTCTCTGCAGCCACCCACTGTGTTTGGCTAATGTGTGACCCCAGCTGCACCACTGGCACAAGATAATCAGCCAGACCATCACAGTGTGCTCTTTTTTCATCAAAAGGAAATCTTCTGAATAACTACAAAGCTATGTCAGTGTGTGCAGCACGGGTCGTTACCCATTAAAGGAGAGGATGCTCCAGCTCTAGAAAGGGAGAGGCAGAGAGAGACAGGGAGGGAGATGTCCCCTGGCTGTGGGGTGATACTGTACAGAGCTCTGACCTTTTCCATGCTCATTTTCTCCGGCAAGACAATGATGCAGCGGTAACCTTTCACTGCAGCTACCAGTGCCAGCCCGATTCCTAGGTGGTGGGAAGGAAAGGAAACTGGTTGACAACATACATTGCTTCCTATGTTCCCCTCTCCCACTGAACATAACCTAGAACTGTTCACCAATGAGTCACAGCTCAGGGCATCCTCCCCAGGTCTCTCGGGATGTGCCGGGAGGATGCAGTAACGGGCGAGCCCAGCTGCAGTATCCCTCTTGCTCGCAGGCATCTGTGTGGCACAGAGCGAACGGCAAAGCTGGGAACAATTTCCTCCCCTCACTGAGGCTCAGACCTCTTCCTTTGCTTTCCAAAACACAGGAGAGAGGAGGTGATTTCGCCTCAGGAGTGCCTTCTCCTCCCCCTCAAACGCTCCTCAGTTGGGGACACACAGGAAGCTGCACATGTCACCCCGTGGCAAGCAGGCAAATGCAATCTCTGCTCCAGTTTCACTGGGAGTGATGGATGGAGCCAGCTGCTCCCCAGCTAGAGGAGGACAGTGAGGCTGGAGCAGCATGTCCCTGCGAGAGGCTGTAGGGAGCACGGTGCTGCCTGCGGAACAGCCCCGGGATCATGCAGGTCCCCTTGCTCCCATGTCCAGGGGTTGTCCAGGGGGCTGGCTCTGGGGTGCCTGCAGTGAATGGGCTGGAAAAGAGCAAAACTCCTAGAGACGAGCCCCGTTCTGCATGGCTGGTGAGGGGGAGGTGAGGAACACAGCGAGGGGCACAGCCTCAGCTCTGTCCAGAGTCCCTCGACAGCTTCCACTGCACCTTCTCTCAGGAAAGCACACTCTACACACACACATCCCTGACAAGGTGGGGACACTGGTGCAGGGAGCAGCAAAGGGCCATGGAAACTTGCACCAATGGTCCTGTGCAGGCTGCAAAATAGGGGGGATGCTCATCTGCTGTGTACCCCTCGTCTCATATGCCACCATAATCTAGTGCCTGAACAGGATGATAGTGACAAGGGAAAAAAACCAGGTAATTTATCTTCCAGCCTGTAAGGGAAACCCTCTCTGAGAACCCCAATTATTCAAGAACTTCCCAGCCTGAAAACACCTGGGGTTACCTAGGCTCCTCCAACTCCCGAGGCCCTTGGGAATTTCAGCCACAAAGCACCTCAGCACCTGGGGCTGCCCATGGCTGCCAGGAGTGGAGCCAAGGGAAGGATGGACCCAGAGCTGCAGGGCCCCAAGGTGACCTTGTAACTGCAGGTGCAAGAGCTCCTCAAATCCCTGCCCCTCTTGCAGCCCCTCAGAGACACCACCCTACCCGCTACCCCGGCACAGGGAGCATCCCTGCCTTTCCCACCTGTATTTCCTGAAGTGGGTTCAATCAGTGTGTCTCCTGGTTTTATAATTCCAGCTCTCTCTGCATCTTCCACCATCCTCAGGCTGATGCGGTCCTTCACACTGCCCCCAGCATTGAAGTACTCACATTTTGCCACTGGAAATGAAAGGTGAGGCTCCATCATGGACAAGCTGCAGCTGGGAGCACCAGGCTGTCCTGTGTCCCCCAGCTCCCTGCTCTCCCAGCCCTCACGTCAGTCATTTGAGGACACCTTCCTCCTCTGTGGGATGGTCCTTTGCTCAGAGGAGAGCATCTACTATCTGCTTATGGGTTGCTGCAGCTTGTCATGTGGCTACCCACCGTAGTCCATCTTCTCACCACTTTTCATCTACCTGCACCACTCTGAAGACAGCAGGCAGGCCTGGTAAGTCCAGGACGTGTTTAAAATCTACTGGATATACAGTGATTTCTAGGTGGAGGGTCCCGCACTGGTATGATAGAACTTGCTGCCCTGCCTTGAGGACTCTTCTCTGAGCAAGGCACTGTCAGGGTTAACAGCAAGGTCTCACAGTCTTTCCTGGGGCACGGCAGTTAATAATAGGTATCTAAAAAGATGCCCTTCTGTAGGGGTGACCTGTAGTCCTGAATGGAGTGCCATAAAGAAAAGATAAAAACCAGGATAATTGGCACTTTCAAGTGTCATCCAAAATTATAATTTCTTCACTGAGGTACCAAAACCATCCAAGTAACAGAGACTTTCCAAGGTATTTACAAACTGCAAGGCACACCTTGGTTCCCCTCCACACCACTAACGCTCGAGGCAGGACTCTTTCCACCAAGGTTTTGATGAGCTTCTACAGCTGGTCTGATGGTTCTGAGTTCAGTTTTATGGACCAAAGGGAGAAATGAGTACTTTCAGGGTGTATTCACTTCATCCTAGCAGAGACAGCTACTTCAGGCTGACAAATCAACCCCATACCTGAGCAGCCAGAACAAGGAAAATAATCTTGTGCTCATTATTACATTTTATAATGCAAACCCACCAAAACTTCAGCTACACAGAGAACCCTGGAGGCACAGAGTTTACAAGGTAATTGCATCCAACCATAACTGCTCCCTTGATGAGGCAGAGCTCCAAGCTTTCACATACTTGCTTGGTCAGAGGCTCTGTGCCGACCTGCAGCTCAGAGAGGACCACGCAGCTGCTCTGCCTGTGCTGCTCTCCTTCCCCTCCTGCGCCAGGGGAGGGAGACACCACCCCAGCAAACAGGGTCTCCCCGGCTTCCCCGCTGCTGTCTACACCAAATCCTCTCACTCTCGCTCTGTGCTTTCGCCAGCAAGACATCCTCGGAGGGACAGACTGCTGCGGAGGCGGACCAGACATTGTAGACGTGTCCTTCCACCTCCACTCCATGGTCCCCTACCGTCCCCTGAGGTCTCATTCCAGGATGCAAGATGTGGTGCAACATGGAGGTTGCAGGATTAGGGGTCCAAGGATCCCAGATCCTGAGAAAGGATCTAGTTGAAGAGCACAGCACGCTCCATGGGGCTGTGTGCCCAGTGGAGACTGGCTACCGGGTGGATTTCCTGAGGCCACATAGGACCACAAGGTCCCACTGTGCCCTTTGATTGAGCGTGAGTGCTCAACAAGTCTCTCCTTCCTACCCACCTATGTGACATTCATGAATCTTACTGCCTCTGAGACATCTGTCTTTCTACTTGGTCTGGCTGAAATTAATTAATAGGGTTAAAAGCTATAGGAAAGGAGACTGAAAAGTCCATGTATACAGAGGCAGTCTAATCATATCATCCTTATATTTGTAGGGGAACAGGCTAAACCCAGCCCTTACAAGAGATACCACCAGCACTATGCTAACATCTCCTCACGGGGAGGACTTGGGTCCTGCTGGAAAACCTGGCCCCACAGCCAGTGCCCTGGTCTGGCTTTGAGCACCAGGGCCTGGCATGTGTGTGGCTGATAAACCCAGATGTCTGCAGCCCCTGCTGCTCTGCCTGGAGCTGCATTTTGGGGAGGTCCCCAAGGAAAGCTGTCACTGCCTCTGAGGCAGTGATGCACCAGATGGCAGCACCAGGCCTGGCTGCAGCTGACCTGATGGAGATGATGCCATGGCAGAGCAGAATCCTCCCTTGAGACCCCTCTGCATGGGATCTCTGCCTCGTGGCCAGTGGCTACTCTGACATGTGTCCCCCACTGTCCAAGCTGCTCCCTCTGCCCGGGCAGGCAGGAGGAGTCCTGATGTGCCCTTCACCCCATCCCAGTCACCATGTTTTGGGAAGGCTCAGACAGTTTCCTCTGTACATCTGATGTGCTACCCCAGGTGCTGCAGCATCCCTGCCTATTGCCATGATATCATCCACCCATCCCCAAATTCAGCCCAGCTCTGCTCTGAGCTTGTGCTGGAGTTATCTGGGAGGAGAGATGCCTCCACTACCATTAGCGCCCTGCTCATTGCAGCTTGAAACCTTCCTGTTTGGTCTGAGAAGTGACTGCAGTGTAACCTGGTAAGTGGAAGTACTCAACACGTGCCATGTCTGGTCCTCCTCGTCTGTGCTTGCTCTCCATAGAGCCTCTCTTGAAGCCCCCCTCCAACACCGCCCCTCACCCTCACCTCATGGCACGGAAAAACCTGGTGGAAATGGGACACTCACGGAGCTCACACTTGAGCCCATAGGACTTCCCAATCTTGTTGACTCGGACCATTGGGGTGCAGCCAATTTTCTTCAAGATGTTGGGCAAGATCTTTGTTTCTTCTGGCCTGAAATAATGCAGAAAAAAAAAAAAAATCAAATCAAAACAACTGTTATGCAACATGAACCAAGATAAAATCTAAGTGAGGTTTCAGCATTTTTAGCAAGGTCAGCAAGAGACGTCCCAGCTCCAAGAGAAAAGGTCCCCGTTGACAATTAATGGCAACAGGAGCTAGTTACAGTTTTCCATCACTCTTACAATGAGTTATTAATTCTTTTGCATAAGAAAGAAGGTAATTAATTTTCATGGATGTTCTGAAATGTCTTGTTCTGGAAGACCCTAGGCCAGACCTGTAACTAAGTAAACTGAGAAGAGCTTACAAGTCTTGGGATTTTACATAGTGGGTGAGAAAGCCAGGAGACCAGGTGCAATGCAAGGCTCCTCCTCTTTGCTCCATCCTACCCAGCATCACCTCTGCTTTTTGCATTTTCAGCTATCTCTGGGCCAGCTGTTGCTTGCCTGGCCAGGACTGCCAGACTTGCAAGGATGGCTCTGAGGCATCAGAAAGGCCCAAGCCACAGGAGACTCTGGAGGGTTCCTTGTAAATAAACTCACCTCTTGGATCAGTGCCATCCAACCTCCCCATTTTGCTAGTCTCTCAGATTCTGGCAGAAGCCAAGAACAACGTCACAGCAATTGCAACCAGAGTGAAAAAGACTTGTTTGCCCAATATGCAACAAAATACATCTTGCCATGCAGCCAAGGAATTCTTTTAAAAGATGGAGGGAAAAGATTGATGAGGGCTGCATGCATTGGGGCCACAAATGCATTGCCCCTGGTTGATAGCCAGCACATCTCTCTCTGAGTGGGGTGACAAAGCCCCACTCCCTCGCTGTTCAGCTCTCCTTTGCATAGCTCTCACCCACTATCATCCTTTGAACCTTGAACCCAAGTTATCCTTGTCTGCTATCGCAACCAGGCAGATGGCTGTCTGCTGACAGAAAGTCCATATGGTGCAGGGATGACATGCAGATTTACTTAGACACACATCTCCCTCCAGGTTTTGCAAGCATGATATAGTCACTTCTTGCTTTGCAAGAGTACAGAGATAGTGGTTTAGTGCAGGTCCTTGCTACCAAAAGGAGCCAGCCTCCTGACATCTCAAACCCAGAAGTATTACACATATGCTGTTACCTCTCCCTCCATGGAAAGTGTTACTGCACACATTACAACCTGTATTGAGTGCTGGTAAATGTGAGGCAATAACTCAATAAACAAGCTTCCCCCACAGCTGCTGCCATTTTCCATCTGCTCTAAAAGCCACCAAAACACTCAAGGATTTCAGTGGGGCTGAGCCATGGCACAAGGAGACTCCAGCTCTTTCAGGCAGTTTGGAACTAAAGCCCGGCTTTCAAGAGAGTGGCCTGCATATTACATTGCTTGTCTAGATTGCAGGAAGTCAGCTCAAGAGAAGAAAGCAAGGCCATTTATTTACCTTCAGCCAGTAATTGTGGTAAACAAGATGCTGCCATGCCCTTTGAACTCCAGCAAGGAGTGATGTGGCACAGTGAGGTGCTGTGCAGCTCCAGGGTCTGCAGTGTTGGAGCCTGGCAAGGGGATGGGGAAAGGAATGGCAACCTGTGCTGCCTTGCATGCTGGGGAGAGCCTGGCCTGGAGAGTGAAGGTGGGAACTAGAAACTGGTGTTTTGCATTACCACCAGCTACCATTCCCCCAGAACAATAGACTTTCTATCACTCTGGGGCAAATTTTCAGCCATTCTTATAAAATTCCTTTCCTAATTGCTACTGTATTTTACTACAAAGATAGTATAGTCATGGTGAGCTTCCTTCTCCAGCTGTGTGAGCTCTGTGCATGGGCCTGAAATCAGGAGGTCTATGGGTACAAGAATCTGTGGCAAATGCCTTTGGTGCTCCTAAAAGACATGGTGGGGACACTCTGGTCTTGCAGCTGCTGGTGCCAGTTCAGGATTGCAGTGGTGGTTTTTCTCCAAGATTTCTGCTTTTGCTCATGGCATATTATTCCATAAGGTTTCCAGGAGAAAAACAGTCCTTGCAAACCAAGTGATTCTTGCTGAGGTTATAGCGGGTCAGAATTGGCTCAAGGGATATCAGAGCTAGTCTACCTCTGTATCTTTGGAAAAATTTAAATAATTAATATTCTTAATCAAAATAACATCTTGTCTTCTCCCTCCTCCCCACCATCCTCAGCTCCTATCCTCAAAACTCAATCAGGTTTCATATGGGAATCTCAGAAAGTCCAGAGATTTTTTTGCTACATCAACTGCCACCTGTGGTTTACCCAGAGCAGAGAAAACAAACAAATTCCCTCCATGCACACCTGCAAAGTAAAAGACATCATGTGACATGTCCCAGTGCATTTTCTTCACTGCTATGCAGTGAGTTTCATTTCAGTCCTTGCCCCAGCAATGCTGCATGGGCCCCCTCAGCCAGAGCCCATCCCCAGGTAGGTGCCTGATGCCCAGGGCTGGGGCTGCCCTGGTGCCCACCTTGGGCTGCCCACCTCCCAGCTGGGGGGTGGGATGGGCCCTGGCCTTGGTGCTCTGTGGCACCCTGATCCTACTTTGCTAAAAACTAAGAATGTTATCCTGCTCAGCATGATAATTGAGAAAAAAAAGATTAAAATTACTGAAAAGAGCTGATCCCATCCTTAGGCACTAGCTGCAGGGATTGCGCTGGGTGAGTGCCTGGATGCACAGCTGCTGGATCAGCTCTGAGGCTGTGGAGCTCACTCCTCCTTCATGGGCCAGACCCAGAGGCTGTCTTGGGCTTCACACGTGCCGGCAGCTGTGCCCTGGCTGTGTCCTTCCTGGCATTCCCCACTGGCTCCCGGCTGGCAGGCGGCCACACAGAGCAGTGCCGCACCTCACATGGGCTCCAGTTCCTCACACGCTGGAGCTGAATTCATGTTTTACATCCTTGGCACAGCAGGGACGTGTCCACGGTTCTCCTGACATTTATAGGACAGCCTTATCTTTAATAGCTTGTCTGGGTCTCGTTTGCTGGGCCATTAAAGCACCTCTCGTTGAATCTAGTCTGGGCACTTTGGCAGGCTTACCTCACTCTGGGAGGAAACCTGCTGCTGTGAGGACAAGAACCGCTCATAGCATTCACTTCGCCTTGCAATGCCCTCTTGGGTCACTTACACAGAGTAGGCAACCTCTGCATGCGCCATTTTCTACTTATTTAAAAGCCTAGGCCATGGTAATCCATTTTTGTGGAGGTCTCTTAGCCATCAGTGAAGACATTGCTAGTGCTTAGAAATCTTCTTACATACAACCTCAGATTGTTTGAATGAACAAGGGTAGCTGAGCTGCAGCACTTTGACTGATGACTGCATGGCTGTTACTGACTGTGCTGTACCATGGCATGAGTGCAACAGCTTTGGGCTGTACACCTCCATAGAGCCATTACTGCCTCTCCTCCAGCACCTGGCAGTTGGGAGTGCCTTCCCTTCTGCTGTGCAACACCAGACCACACGGAGTCCGTTCTGCAGAAATGTGCAAGCCTCTGGTTGAAATCTACCTCTATAATACGTTCGTCTTAATTATTCTAAAGTGAGACGTCCCAAACTAGCAGATGCTCTCAAATGTATGCTAGAAAACACAGAGCTGAGTCTTGAGACAGTCACATCTTTCTGTAAGATTAAAGGGAGTGAGAAAGTTCTTTCTGGAGAAGAGATACTATGTGGGTTTTGCCTTCTGGAAAAAAAACCATCATTAACGTAAGGTATTGTCAAAGTACTGACTCCTGGTCATGACCGTCCTGGTGCAACTATAGTACTTCATCTTCAGAAAAAGCTACTGAGCTGCCCGCACTCTGAAATAACCAGCACGAAACCAGCATTACTTACAAGGGTATACAGGAGTGTGGAGACTTGGTGGCAGGCGTTGCAGCTGTCCATGTGCACTTACTGGGCAAGTTGGGAAGGATCCATGTGCTGTCAGCTTTGCTTTCCTGACTTCCCACACAACTGCCATTCATAAGTGGGCATGCCTTGGTCAGGTCCTGTGTTGTGGAAACAGAGACCCAGAGTCACCTGGGAGGACAAGTGGGCAAGCAAGCAATAATATATGGGTAACAATTTTCTAATTCAGTCCTACAGATGCATGAAAGATGCTCTTTCATAGTGGTATACTAGACCACATACATGGTGAACCATCATCTGGCCATCCCCAGTAAATCTTCCCCTGCTCTAATGTACATTGAAGTATCCCCTCCACTAGAAAATTTGGTGCTCTGTATTTAATTATTTGGTCAAGAGCAGTATTTTTTCACCCTAGCAGTGAAGAAACTGTAGCCAAGTCTATCCAGCAATAATTTGAGAATATATGGCAGTAGCAAGCCCCAAAGGCCCAGAGGACACCTCTACTCTGCCATCTGAGTGTATTAACAGTGAAAAAAGAGAATCGATAAAAACAAAATGTCAGGGAAGGGCAGCAAAGGTGCTCAGGGGTACAGAGCAAGTTCCAGAGCAAAACAGCTTAAATAGAGCAGGATTCATCAGGCTGGGAATGATGGGGATTGGACTAGATGATCTTTCGAGGCCCCTTCCAATCCATAACATTCTGTGATTCTGTGATTCTGTGACATAGGTTACTGGTGGTGAGAGTGGCCTGTAAATCCTGGGGGATCTGGAGAAAGTGACTAAGGAACACTTTTTTTGTTTCTCAGCACCAAATAATGAGGCAAAATGAAATTATCAGGAAAAATTATAGGAGCAGAGCACGTAAAAGTGGAAACAAAAAAGGGTTAAACAGGTTTTCAAAGGTCAAGTTCATTAGTGGCTTTTAAGCACACTGGCCCTAATGGAACTCTGCGAACATGCTAATTTGCTGTGCTGGTTTCTCTGTATTGCTGGTGCATATAAAAAGAAAAGGAACATTATAGTTGATTCTCAGCATCTACTACTGACCAATAGCAGAAACAAGGGTTACATGGAGCTTTGGTGTGACTCTCTCCCGTGTCACTTTCTGCAATTCATCAACCACCCTTTTGTGCAAAGGAAACCAACTGCATGGGGACAAGACACATGATTCTGGTAACTGGGAGTTTCTTTTCTGCTTGTTCACAGAATGAATTTGCCCTGATTCAACCTTTGTTGAAAAAAGGGATGAAGGATCATGTTTGGAGACTTCTGTCTTATTTTGATTGAGTTGGCATTAACCTGCTCGTTGTAGCATAACCTGCCCTATCTCCCTACACTACTGCAGTCATGCATTTTGCAATGAGAGCAAGTGGAATGCTTGTACTGTAGCAGAAGTTCTCAAGGGCGTGATGTTGGACCTTCCTTCTACATTTAAGTTCATACTGAGAACAAAGACGTAATTATTAAATCTGATAGAACCAAACTAGTGATGCAAAGAAGAAATATTTCATTCCTAAACACAGAGGAGCACCTATGGAAGGACGAGGCCTGCTGCCACGTGGAGGGGAAGGGATGTGGGAAATCTGCTCTAGCTACTGCCTTGGGGTGGGAATTCAGGCAGCTGACAAGAGCATGCTGGAGCACAGAATGGGCAGGCCACCACATCTGTGGAGCATCACCTTCATCCCAGGCTGTAAAGCCACCGCTCTGCCCCTCCTTGGCACCTGGGCTGCCTGCATTGCCTGTGGAGCCAAGTTGACTCACAAAGGCCAGGCAACCAGCATGCGTGCTCTTATGGCCAGGTCATGATTATCTAATTAATTTGTGGCTCAACACGTGAGCCTAAGAGCAGCCTTAATTACCATTTCTGCCATCCTTCTTCTGCTCGCTTGTTGGTGTCACCCACTTGGTGGGAGCTTCTTTGAAGCAGCGTGGTGGGACTACCTGAGGTCAGCGCCGTCCTTTCCCAGTGGTTTCCCCACTGGCTGGGAGGATGGGCTTGCGGTTCACTTCCCGTGTGTTGGGTTCTCCCTGAAACACAGAAATACACCACACTGTTATTCCAGCCATAACAGAGGGCTGTAATGGCCTGCAGCATGTGGCCAAGCTTTCTTCTTAGCCAGAGGCACTTGGGCATCTCAAAGATGGAGGTCAACAACCTCATGTCACTGCCTAGCCCTGCGACTGACCTTGAAGCAGGATGGCAGGCAGGAGACACGGGGCCGCCTCCATGTCAAGCACTGAGCTGCCTTTTCTCCTCTGGAGACACCGGCCTCAGCCTCACAAAGCAGCGAGAGACCACGAGGGTACAAGGGTGGTCACGCCAAAGTGGCTTGGACCCCGCAGCCAGTCTGACAAAAACTCTGACGACAAACTTTACCTCCCAGTGCTCTTCCCCACCACTGCCAAACATGTTGCTTCTTGGGAGGGATTAAAGGAAAAAAAATGTTAATTTCCTTGCAAGCCAGGATTTGTGTTGCCCTTGAGTGTATCTCCCCAAGCAAATCCTTGTTTACCTAATGAATTAACTGGGAAGGAGCAAAAGTCACTTGTGGGTAAAGAAGAGATAAGCCGCAGTGTATCAGAGCTAGTTATCACGCTTTCACAACTGCAGTCATTGGTTACTCACCAAAATGTTGGCAAAATAGATTTTACAAGGTTTTTTTTCTTTTTTTTTTTATTTTTTCTGATGATGCCCATCTCCACCATTTTGTGATGGGGTGGAAAGAGGGACCAAAATAATTAGGGCTGCTTTTGTAATTTTTTTCCTTCTCTGCAGGCATGTGGCTCCCTTCCCTGGTGGGTGCTGGCCCTGAGGAAGACCGGCATTGGCTGTGGGGCCCCGCGCAAGCCCCCTCTCCCCTCCATCCCTGGCTGCGTGGGCACACTGCCTGTGTCCCATCTTTCCCCGTGGGGCAGCTGTGGGAGCACACCAAGCCGCAGGGATAACCAGAGAGGGCCCAGTGCCACCGTCCCCCCCCTCCACACCAGGGTTTACACCCCCACTTTAGGGTGATGTCCCCAGAGACGCTTCACATTTCAGCCAAGCACACGGGGAGCCAACACCACGTCTGTGGGGACAATCACCTGCCAAGTCCTGGGTGAAAGCAGGTGACCTCCTTGGGGGCTCAGGAGCACCCCAACACCCCTCGGGCACCAGCCTGGCAACAGCAGCATCTGAGCACCTCCCTTGCCACTGCCAAGAAATGCCACCGGCCCCAGTGTCAACCCTGCCAGGAGCAGCCAACCTGTCCCTAAAGCCAAGTGTTGGAGGCAGCATGCCATGCTGAGGTGGCTGGTGCAGGGAGTGAAAAGCATTACTGGCTTTCCACCTTCTAAAATAAGGTTGCTCTCTGCTCATTGTGTTCAGTTCCTTCAACATCTGATATAAAAAAAAATAGCAAAAAAGAGATTTTCATTTATCCGCTCTCCCAAAGTGGATACAGACATATTTTCTAGATGCCCAGAGAACAAAGAAACAAGACCTGGCCCTTGACTAGGTCAACATCTACATTCTTCTCTGCTGGAGGCTTTCTCATATATCTCCTCAAGAGTTGGTTAATTCCTGGTGTGGTGCTGCAGGACTGCTCATGTCTTTCCAGTTACGAATCACTCTAAAATCTCTGCATTGCTATGCCCAGGCTCTGCATTCATGTTTAAATTAAGATATAGCTAAACCTGTGATTCTGAAGGAAACCTTAAAATTTGCCTGAAGTACATGAACCCCAATACCATCTATGCAAGATGGCAGATGACCTGAAACAGTACCAAAGGATGGAAGAATCTGACCTTCCTTCTCATATCTTTTGGAGGCCTCGGCACAACACCAGCAAGCTGCTCCCCTGCCCAACAGTCTCAGCAGTCACGTCCCACAAAGGTGCAGGTTGGGTGGAAAGTGTGGGCAGAAAGGGGCATAGGGTCACTGTGGACAGTCTGACTGCAGCCAAAGATAGCTGAGAGGAGCAATGTCCAGTGCAGGCACCTCCTCACACTGCCTCCAGTGCAGTTTTAAATCGCCTTATATCACAAAGTGAGGATACGTCCTCTCTTGATTACAACAACTCTTACCTATGTCCCCATACTCCTCCTAACCCCCCCCTGGAGCTTCAGCTATCATCTGATCAGCCATCAAACACATCTGAATTATTGTCTGTGTCCTGCAACAGCCCTATTACCCTCTTCTAAATAGAGAAACTTGAGATAGCACAGACTGGACAAAGGATAAATGGAAATATCCACTGGAGCTGGGAGGCAAGCCAAGAGACCGGGCATGCTAACGGACAATTCTGCAGCTGCCGCCGCTTACTGAAAATATATGACTAAGAGCATAGGCTAATGTTTATAGAGTACTTTGCAGATAGGAGATTGCAATTATTAGGTTATCAGACTGCACTGATAACTACAAAAGGAAGAAAATCAAGACACTCATTAAGTAGACTGAGGAAAAGAACATGAACTCAGCAGAGCAGAGAGAGTTACCTGCAAACTTGCCCCATTCAAAGCACAATACCTCTTCTGCTTGATTTTAAAGAAATGGTACCACTGTCAGTGAGCAAGACAAATGCAACACCAGTTTAACAGAATAGCAGAGTGACCCAGGCTGGAGGGGATCTCAGGAGGTCCCTGGTCCAGACTCCTGCTCAAAGCTGGGTCAGCACTAAGTTCAGACTGGGTTGCTCAGGGCTTTGTTGTCTTCTTGGGTCTTGAAAACCTCCAAGGATGGACACTGCACAAGCTCTCCAAGCAACCCACACCACCACCCAACTGACCCCATGGCGTAAAGCCAGAACCTCCCTGATTTTCAGATTTATTCAGATCTTGCTGAAAGCATAGACACTTCCCAGATCAGAGTCAACCTTTGAACAGGCTGAGAAGCAGAGCTTACCAGATTCCTCCTCTTTTCAAGACTTTTCAGGACAGCAGAGTTACCTGGTCAGTAGGCACGGCTCCCATGCAGTCTGCCATTAGAAAAGCAGCATGTTTGGTAATAGATAAGCCATACTTACCACCTTCAGTGTATCACCCGAGTCTCTTTGCTGCGCTTCAGCACTGAGCTTATATATGCCCGGTGGCAGGGGACACCAATGAGCAGCGGTGAGTGCTCCACGGAGGGACGCTGATTGGATCCTGCCCCACACCTAATTATGCCCGGCACCTGATTGCTCTCCGAGCGTAAATGATTGGGGTGTAAAAAAAGATAAGCAATTTATTGTTTGTTTTAATTCATACTTATCTTCAGAAGCGCTCTCAACCCATCCCCCAGCAATTTTGTGGTGGTTTTAGAATTTTCGTGTCTCATACTTAACCTGCTGCTTAAACCCGGCTCGTCTGTGTCAGCATGTGCCTTGCTGAATCAGGCATAAGCAAGGATAGAAATGACATATTACATTAGGTGCTGGCTGATATGGACTCTCTGAGTCCTCTGGGAACCTAAGGTTAGTCTCTGCATCACTTCCAGCCCTAAGCCTCTCTTTTCTCATGCTAGCTCCTGCTCCTCGTGCAACTGCATTACTGTTAAATTAGCTGAGAGCAGCAAAGAGCTTGTGCTCTGCAGTGATTCCCAGACGCTGGCTGGACAATTAGGAAATTATCTGGGTGTAGATTTACTGGAAGAGGAAGAGCCCATGGGAATTTTGGTCTCTCC